TTTTTTTCTCTTTCTTCTTTGTTCTCTTTCCTTATGGTTTGATTGCTAGAGAAGGTCCTTTAACATTTGTTGTAAAGCTGGTCTGGTGGTACTGAAATCTTTTAGCTTTTGTTTATCTGTGAAGCTTTTGATTTCTCTATCAAGTCTGAGCAAGAGACTTGCTGAATAGAGTATTCTTGGTTGTAAGTTTTCCCCTTTCATCACTTGAAATATATCTTTGCCACTCCCTTCTAGCCTGTAGAGTTTTTGCTGAAAAATCAGCTGATAACTTTAGGGGCATTCCCTTGTATGTTATTTGTTGCTTTTCCCTTGCTAATTTTAATATTTTATCCTTGTCCTTAATTTTTGTCAATTTGATGACTATGTGCCTTGGTGTGTCCCTCTTTGGGTTGATCCTGTGTGGTACTCTCTGTGCTTCCTGGATTCGGGTGACTGTTTCCTTTCCCAAGATGAGGAAGTTTTCAGTGATTATCTCTCCAAAAATTTTCTCAAGTCCTTTCTCTCTCTTCTCTTTCTGGAACCCCTATAATGCGAATATTAGTGCATTTCATGTTGTCCCAGAGTTCTCTTAAACTATCCTCATTTCTTTTCATTCCTTTTTTTTCTGTTCTGCAGTAGTGATTTCTACTCATCTCTCTTCTAGCTCACTGAGCCGTTCTTCTGCCTCATTTAGTCTATTCTTGGTTCCTTCTAGTGTGTTATTCATTTCAGTAATTTTATTCTTCAATTCTGTGTGGGTATTCTTTATATTTTCCAACTATTTTCTAAAAACTTTGTTCTGTGCATCTATACTCCTCTTGAGTTCTCTGAACATCTTCACTATCATTACTTTAAACTCTCTCAGGTAAATTGCCTATCTCCTCATCACTTATTTCTTCTTCTGGGATTTTATCTTGTGCCTTGGCCTGGGAGACAATTCCTTTGCTGCCTCATATCATCTATCTTTCTATGTGTTTGTGGATTCCTTCCACAGGCTTTGGGATTATTGTTTTCTTATTTCTGATATCTGCCCCTGGTGGATGAGGCTGGACTAGAGGTTTATGCAGGTTTCCTGTCAGGAAGAGCCGGGTGCCTGCTCACTGCTGGGTGAAGCTTGGTCCTGGACAACCTCTGGTGGGCAGGGCTGTGTCTAGAGGCCTTTGTGGCTTAGAAAGTCTGCTGATGGGTGGGGCTGTGTTCCCACCTGTATGTTGTTTGGCCTGAGGCTTCCCTACAGGCTGTTGGTTGGGGCTAGGGCTTGATGCTAACGATCCAATCAAGATGTCAGCCTCCAGGAAAGCTCATGTAGATGAACACTCCTGGAATGTCTGCCACCAATTTTTATGTCCCCTGAGTGAGCCGCAGCCATCACCCACGTCCCCAGGAGACCCTCCAAATCCAGCAGGCAGGCCTGGCCCAGGTTCCTATAAAATCACTGCCTCTGCCCTTGGACCTGGCGCACATGAGTTTCTGTGTACACTTACCAAGCAAATGGAGTCTCTGTTTCCCCCAGTCCCATGGGAGTCCCAGAGCCAAGGCCTGCTGGCCTTCAAAACCAGATGTCCTGGGGTCTCCTTCTCCTCACAATGCCGGGACCCAAGCTGGGGAGCCTGACATGGGCTTAGAGCTCTCACTCCTGTGGGAAAGCCTCTGCGACTTAACTGTTCTTCAGCTTGTGGGTCGCCCACCCCGGGGGTGTGGGACCCAATTATATCGTGAGCACGCTCCTCCTGCCATCCCTCTGTGGCTTCCTCTTTATGTTTCCAGTTACAGAAGATCTTTCTTGCTAGGTTCCAGTCTTTTTATTCTATGGTTGTTTAGCATTCAGTTGTGGTTTTGTTGTAGTTGTGAGGAGAAGTGAGCTCATGGTCCTACCATGTCACCATCTTGACCAGAAAAATCAGAAACACTCATTCTTATACACTGTTGCTGAAATTAAATTGATACAACTTTTGAGGGAAGACAGTTTGGTAATCACTATCTATCAAAATAGAGATTTACATTTCTGACCCAACAATTCCACTTCTCTGATTTATCCTATAGACATTGTAGCCCATGTACGAATTTTCCTTTCTACAAGTTTATTCATTATAGCATTATTTATAGTTGTAAATATTGGTAACAAAACAAATGTATCTCAGTTGGGTACTGTATAAATAAATTATGGTAGATAGTAGTAAAAGACAGAACATTCATAACTGTTAAAATAAAGAAGAAACTACTCTGTATGCACTGATACGGGACAATCTCCAAGCTATGAAATTAAGTGAAAAGCAAGAGGTATAAAATAGAATAGCCTGCTGTTTGTATAAAGAATAATACATAATAACCCATAATGAAAAAGAATATGAAGAGGAATATATATATGCATAAGTGAATCACTATTCTGTACACCAGAAATTAACACAACATTGTAAATCAACTACAATTAAAATTTTTAATTTAATTTAAAAAGAATAATATATAATAATTATTTGCAAATATGTAAAATATTTCTATAAACATGCCAAGAAACAGATGAGATGGGTTGCCTCTTCTAGGGAGGTCAGATTGATGGTGTTGGACAAAAGTGGGAGGGAGATTCTTGTGCTGCATAGTTTTATGTCTTCTGAATTTTGAACTATTTAAATGTATTACATATTCAAAACAATGAAAAATATTTCCAAAACTGTATCTAGATAAAAACATCTTGTTGCAGTTTTATCTAGCTTGTCACTTACAATACTGTAACTAAAATGTAAAATCAGACCCAGTTTGTCCTCCTCCTACTCCTGTTTGAAGTTTGCCTCCTTTGTGTTGACAATAAAAATGAAACAAAATGTTTGACCCTTTTCTAGGTGCTGTTCAGTAACTGTCTAATGAGCCCTCCATTCCCACTTCATCCATCTTTGTTTTAAAGTTCCAACCAGAGGGCAGAAAATCTTAGGAAGAAGTATTTTTTAAAGTTTCTTATCACTCAAATCCATACATGACAGTATGTCTTTAAATGTTTTATGTATGTGTGATATGGAAGGAAGTGATTGGAAAACAATTTTAGTGGATTTCAATTTTAAGGATTTGGGGGAAGATAACCCAAAAAGCTGGAAGTGTGATAATAGTCTTATTTTCTCTTGCAGATATTAAGCATCGTCGAATACCAATCTTATTCTTTGCGAACAAAATGGATCTTAGAGATGCAGTGACATCTGTAAAAGTGTCTCAATTACTGTGTTTAGAGAACATCAAAGATAAACCATGGCATATTTGGTAAAGTTTTATATTTACTCTTCTTTTTATCATTCTAAAAACTCCAAACTTAAAGGTTTGTTGTTTTTTTTTTTCCCAAGTTCATTTTATAAGTGACTTAGCATGGTAGTGTAAGGTAAGGATCTTGTTTTATAGAATTGTGGCATTGCAGATATTCATGAATGTACTACCATTAAACCTTTTCAAATCTTTTCATGGGTAGAAAAATAAAAACAAAATCTTTTAGTGGGTAGAAAAATAAAAACAACTCTTTAAACTTAAAAAGCCCACTTACTCATGCAACTTCAGCCACACTGATTTTCTTCTGCACATTGAATCAGCCAACCACAATCCCATCTCTAGGCATTTGTACTTGTTACTCCCTTTGCCTGAATCAGTCTTGAAAATAATTGTCCTACTTGCTATTACACTTCTTTTGGGAAAGAGACCTCTCTTGATGACTCCCTGAAATATCACTATACCTTATCCCCATCTCTTGTTTTTTCCTTTTCTTTGTTTTTATTGCCATGTGACTTCTTGGGCTTTTTTTTTTCTTTTTTGTTTTATAGTCTTATCTTCCTACACTAGTGCATTAGTACCATGAGACCTGGAATTTTATTGATTTCGTTCTCTCTATAGCCCCTGGAATAGTAATTGTACCTGCTACTTAGTAGATACACAATAAATATTTGTTTATATGAATAAATAGAAATGTTAAAATTAGCCTTATTTGGACATACTTGTAAGATTGAACTGTTAAATAGTAGCTGAAATTATTATACATTGTTTATTTAGAAAGCAGTTTCTTACTAATATATTTAACTCCAGTGTGCCTTTCTACCAAAAAATTCCAGTAAGGATAACCAGAAGTTATATGTTAGAGAAGATTTTAATACCTACCACTACCTTATATTAAATTATCCACCCACCTCCCCCTGCCAGATGATATCCTTCTCTTGCCCTTTTTCCCCTTTTCGTACGAAGGTGTCTATTGAGAAAGGCTGGAAACAAAGGCAAAGAACTCTAGGAAGCAAGGAAGTGGTAGAGCTCAGAAAAGAACATTAAGAACTAACCTTGGTGCTGAAAGAGTAATGACATACAGAAGAGCTGAGAACACCCTTGAAACTTCTCAGTACTCAAGAGCACGTATCTCAAGGAAAACCCTCCTTACTTTTCCTCTGATTCTCGAGTTGGAATTTGAGGTTGTGTGCTATTTGCTTGGTAAATAAAGGAGGGATTTGGGGTAGAGAAATATCTTAAGGTAGAACCTTTGTATTTCTCTAAATCATACTTAAATTGATAATATCTAAAGTAGAATAATTTTTTAATTTTTAGCATTGGATTAAGTGCTGTGACTGCTTTGATTAAAAGTACAGCATTCAAAACATGGGTCTAATTAGTAAAATATAGAGTCTTTCTTTTTGAAGTAGAAATTAATTTTGCAAATTTGGAGAAGTCTCTTTCTACTTCGAATAATTAGCAATTGAATTTTAACCAATTTATTTAATTGTGACATCTAAATACTTTTTAGTGAAAGAAAAAGTGGTATCTGATGCTATAAGGATATGGACTATTATATTGCTAGTTTCTGTATTTCTGTATAACCTAGAATGCCAAATTTTTCTTTGAAATTTGTCTAAAATTTTGGCTTCTTAATTCGAACTGGACATCTGACTAAGTTCTAATTAGTGTTTCATTTGTTAAGTTTGTTTTTTACTTTTTGCAATATTTTTAAAGCATGTATGAAATTAAAATTACACTTAGCCTTCTTTTCTAGTTTTAGAGAGAAAGGTAACGCTCAGTGATACTGAGTGTTGACCATGGTACTAAACATACAGTAAACTCTGATGTTCAGGTTTTGATTGTGTTATTGTTCTTCCCATGTGTTCACTGACTCAAGTCTCTGGCGTGACATGTGTATGTATTTGCTTATTTACTGTGTTGTGAGGAAGACGTAATAAAACAAGTAAATAGATGCATAAAATGTCAAAAAATAGAGTAGGATAATAAAAGAAAGGATAACGAGACATGGTTCCTCTCTGACATCTAATTGAAGTCAGGGAGCAGTTCATGCAAAGGTTCAGAGGAATAGCTTTCCAGATAGAGAGCCCAGCAAGTGAAAAGACTCTTGGATGAGAATGTGCATGGTGTGTTCTAGAACAGCAAGGCGCCCGTGCTGGCTGGAATAGAGCGATCTAGGAGGAAATTGTAGGAGATGAGGTTTATACCTCTAGAGATCAGAGTTCACTTTGAATAAAATCATTCCATCCTATGGCTAAATTACAACCCAAGTCAAGCATTTCTAATAAGTAAATGCTATTGAGTCACTGGGGCAGGGCAAAGTAGGATGGCATACTCTATAAAACTCTTCCACTACTGGGAGAATAACTCAGAGTGTATGTTTTGTTAATGTCAACCTGAATAATATTCCTTGAATAATATCTTTTTAATGATACACTCTTCCAAGTGTCTATATAAATTATGAATCATTTTCTCATGTCTTGCTTCTGAGCACTCAGACTTTATATCCTGTGTATATTCAATTGCAGTACTTAACCAGTTTTGCTCAGATATGTTACCAGAAAATATTAATTTGTCATATGAGAAAATTATAATTATTCTTACAGTTTTATGATGTAATGAAATGAGTATTTTTTCATGAATTTTATTTCAGTGCTAGTGATGCCATAAAAGGAGAAGGATTGCAAGAAGGTGTAGACTGGCTTCAAGGTACATCACCAAATACTGTGCATCTTCAGCCTTTATTTCCTTTCCATTCACATTTTCTTTCCTTTTTTACATTTTGTTTTTATTATATCACTGCCTTTTTTCCTCTTGTCTCCATTTATTTCTGCTATCAGAAAAAACAATACAGTAAGTATCCAATACCTTGCTCCATTTACTTCAATTACATCTTTATAAAGAATTTATTTAAATAAAGTGCTTACATCAATATACATGACAACTCTAGGAAATAACTTAAATTTATGGCAACAAATTTCTTTCAGATCTGGTAATAGAAGCACATTTGAAGTTTGGGACATATTTTAGGCCTTACTATCAATAACTAAAAATAAATCTGCATGGCATATATGTATCTTTTACAAATCATGCTGTACTCCACATGTAGCTCCATTTATACATGGCATGTTTATGCAACTTTTAACTCTCATATTTAGTATTATATATACTGATGTTCTGTTAATGTTTTATACATCACAGTTCTATTTGTTATTCCTCAAAACAGCTGTCATGTATTGGTACAGGCTTACTCTACCAGGGAAAAAAATTAAGATACATCATTTTCCCTAAGGTTACATTGTCTTCAACACGGAGGAATGGCTTGAAGCACAATGACCCACACAGAGCAATAAAACATGAATGTTAATGAAACCACGTTCTGTGGGTCCTTCTTATTACAGGACCCTGAGGGTCAGGCAAAAAACCTTCCGTTTGTGAGCAGAACAGCTGAGGGTGATTTCTATTAGGAATCTCCCTGGCCTGAACTAGAGTGAACAACAAGAGATTACAAATTCTAGTTATAGTCTTGTGGCTATACATTTATTTTTTTCTATACCAACCTTACAATTCCAGTTACATGTGATTTTTTTTCTCCTCTGTATGTCATCGTGGATCTAGGGGCAGCCTGCTTGCCCACCACACATAAAGAGACAACATCTCTTTGGTTCAAAGAGCTAAATGTGCATCTGAGAAATATTTCTACATTTTATTAGTAAAACGTGGTATTTTAGTTGCCTGCACAGACTGTTGTATTTCTCTTCCATTTGTGTTTGTGTGGTCATCATGCCATTTACTATTAAACTGCAGAGAACTTTCTAGTCGTATTTTACAATTAAGTGACAATTAAGAACCTCTAGTGGTTCTCAGAACTAGTGGGATTTTTCTGTCAACATACCAACTTAGTTTCTTAGACTGTGCTAAAGAAGTGGTCACAGTGGCCACTTTATGGGACAGATTGCCACAAAACACAGATATGTTACAAAGGAGCATTCCAGAGAAGACACCAGAAGCATGTTTTCAGTCTTTGTTTACTATTTTATTATTGCTCACAGTGAAGTACAGCATAGATGGAAACCCCACTATTACTCCTGATAAAGTAATTGAAAGCAGAGTGCTTACTGAAAATAGGTCACACACGCTCTCTTTCTCTCTGGTTTTATTTTGTCTGTAATAATGAGGCCACTAGGTGTCAGTGACGATCCAACATCACAGTGCCACTTGCCAACTCTGGTCTTGTTACCTAATCTTTCATCTTACCTCCCAATTATTTGTAAGAAGGATACATTATTGGAAACACTTTTGTGCCTTTATGTTGCCGTATTATTTTATGTACCCTTTATAACAGTTCTCTGCAAGGTAAGTTGTACTATCCCCATTCTGTGTAGGCAGCATGCAATAGTAGTAAAAGGCACTTGGGCTTTTATTTATTCCACTAGTTATTTGTTACTGACATCTCTTATTATCTTACAAAGATAATTTTCTTCATATGTAAAATTTTAAAATGTCAAAAAATTGCTGTACAGATTAAATGAAACGCTGTATGTGTTAAAGTGCCTAGCATAAGAAAGCATTCAATAAATGTTAAATTCACCCTTTTACCGAACTGCTCTATTCAGCAGAGGAGGAAACTTAGTATGTAGATTTAAAAGTTTTATCAGTTTGTTTTGAGTAAGAGAGCCTTTGTTCATAATTTCTATGTAATAGTAAATAGTTTACATTTTTGATGCTCCTGTCTCTCTTGATTTGGAAAGAGGTAAAAACCTGTTTCCAAAATAAATAGCAGTAAATACAGGAGACTAGTCTGTGCCTATAACTGTTAATTTATTAGATAAAGGTTTTTTTTTAATAAATCTAACTGTAAGTGTATTCTGAACTCAAATCTCTTCATTTTGCCTGCAAAAATTTGAAATTTCCTAGCATGGCGAACAAGAAGGCCTCTGGTTCATTTTGAACTGATTTAACCTTATTATTTTCAGTTTAAGGTTGAAAAATTTGGAGTAAAATATTAAATGACACATTTTGTACCATGAGTCCGTTCTCTTTTGGAAGGATTCTCAATAATTACCTATGCATTATAGCCCAAACAGAAGAACCCCTGAGCAGGCAGACTACAGAGTATTTTTTAAAACTACCAGGGAATATACATAAAATATTGCAGAGATATAAATTGTTTTCTAGCTCTGAAACTTTCAAATGAGATATTTATAAAAAAAAAAATCCTGCCACATGACTAATGAAACTTACTCATTTTATCACTTTATCTTTATGGGACAAGTTATTAATGCTTCCAGGTTTTAATATAGGACTTCTATAACCTATGCATATAGGTGTTCCAATGAGAGACAGAGGATTGAGCACACACTTTGTTTCATCCCCTCCTCAGATCTCACTAACAGTAAAGAGACTTTTGTTTAAAAACATTAATCCATGAGGACAAAAAGAATGGGAATGACAAAAATGGCAACCAAATTTGGAAGCTGAATATCTGAAGAATGTTGAATAATTTAACATACCTGAGAAAGCTGAATTCTAAGCTAGCCCTGGAGAAAGCTGGAAAGCATCCTAATTTACATTGCAGATCCCCTCAAAGGCTCAGAAATAGACATTGGAAATAAAGATGAAGTGAGACTGAAAGGATAAGGCAATTGTACATCCTTGCCGCAAAAGAAGGCTGCAGTTTCATTCTTTGCAGAGAGTCTAATAGTACCTCTGACTAGAGAATACCAAGCACAACTGTGTGTGGTGATGCTGAACTGAAAATAAAGAGTGACTGAGAGTTTCATACTTAATACGATAACTGTCTTTGCCTTCTCCTGTTTCTCCTAGAAGACACTGTCAGTAAGTAGGAGATAGAAGGTCATCTCTGAAGAATCAGACCAGCCTAAGTGAAAAGACCTAAAGATATTAACACTAGAAATCCTCAAGGAAATGGCTTAGCTAAATACACTAGAATAAAGACCACCTTGACAAGCCTCACACACATAACAAAATTCCAATCAGCACTCATACAAATGAGAAGATGGCAAAGGATCACCAGGTATTTGAAGACCAAAACATTAAGAATTACTAGAACTTAAACAAAAAAAAACAGGTTAAAAGAAGTAGAAGCTCTTTAGGGAGGACATTTCAATAAGCTATTGCAGTATTCTCAGAGAGATAAGAAAAGGTATTGCTTTGGTGAATATGGTCAGGTTACTGCTTGAAAAGGAACAAAGAACAAGAAATGAATTCTTGGAAAATAATAAAATAGTAGAAATGGGAAACTTAATAAAAAGAAGATAAAATAGAGGCAAGCTCTCCGAAAAGCAAAAAATGAAAAATTGGAAAGAAAAGAAAGTAAGGAGTCATTTTAGGACACCCAACATCCAGATAATAGGAATTCTTGAAAGACAGAACAGACAAAATATAGAGAAAAGATCATCAAATATATTAAGCAGTATTTTCCAGAAGTGAATGATGAGTTTTTAGTTGTCAGGTCCCTTGAAAACCCCATGCGGTGGATGAAAATATTTCCACCCCAAGGTGCATCATGATTAAAGTCAACACTGAAGACAGTGGAAGACTCTACAAGCTTCCTGAGAAGAAACAGGTTTCATCTAAAAGATAAGGAAACAAAGTAGCATCAGACTTCTCACCAGCAATATTTGGAAGCAATGCCTGGAAAAGTCTAAGGAGAAAATAATATTCTTGGGCAGTATCAGTGTATTGTGATTATAGAATTAAGACATCTTCAGCTGTGTAAAGTCTCAAGAGTTCACTTTCTATACCTTTTACTAAGGTAGCCACTGAGAAGTGTACTCATCAAAAACAAACGAATAGACCAAGAAGAAAAAATGTAGAACCGTGAAATAGAAAAACCTGCACGAGAGAGTTGGGGAAGGAATCCCAAAAGAACAATAACGGAGATCCTAGAATCCTAATGAAAGCTCTCATACGAAAATAACTGGGCAAGCATGGAGAAAAACTGTTTCAGACTAGAGAGTTTTGCAAGACTCTAAGGGAGAGTTCTTCTGAAATTGATCAACTACGTAACATGCTTCATAATAGTAAAAGTTGAAACACTGCAAGTAGTGGGATTGAATTCATGTTAAGTAACATTAAAAAAACCCAAAAAACTAAGATAGGGTTGGGGATGCAGAGCATTCCCTAACTACAAGAAAAAAAAATGTAATAGAAGAAAGGAAAAGTAACCAGGGCATACCACTGTCTGGGCTGTGAATAGTATGCATATAGGCATCATACTGATGACTGCATTACCGTTAGGAAAATGGGACTACTAGAAGCATCATGAGAGTGGCAGAAGAACAGTATATGAGTGTTTGAGAACAGGAGCCTCATATTACATTGAAGGGACTGATATTTCAAGTAATGATAAAAGCTTATTATTTAGAGTTACAGAGGTAATCACCTAAAAGAAGTTGGGAGTAGGAGAAAGAGGAGACGAGGCAAGGGACTGCTGTTTTTCATTATAAGCTTTGTAGAACTAGTTAACTTCAACTAGGTGCATGTACAGTGACAAAAATAAAAACTATAGCATGAATTGTGTTTTGAAAAAAAAACTGGTGTATGTATAGGTTTCTACCATGTTCTTATAGATTTGTCTTGGATTACTATAGAAAACATTTTGCTCTGTAGAGACTGATGATTTTTTGTTTGGTTTTTGTTATCAGATCAGATCCAGGCTGTGAAGACATGAAAAGATAGTATTTGGAAACCTCAACAGTTTTCAATTCAAGGAATATATCTTAAAGCAAACTGAACTTTAAATTTCTTAAAAGGTGTTTGTACATCTGAGAATACTTTATAATCTTCTGCCTGCATTTATGGACTCTGAATGAGGTTTTTAAGAACATAGGACTTCAGGTATGCTAATCTGGCCATTAATTATACGAAAATTAAATCTTTCCTCAGAAGGGCTCCCTCCCCAGAATTACCGACTTCTTGGTAAAAGTCTGCATTTGATTGTAACTAGAATGTTTAAAGTCAGAGTTATAAGCCATCTCAATATCTCATCATGATTTATGATATCTTTAATGCATTTTACTTTTTTTAATTGTCTTCTAAAACTTTAGTTTATCATATGACTTTTGTAGTATGATTGTGCTTGTGGAAAAAGAACTTTAAATATTTATAAGGGACCATTGGGTAATTAATATATATTAAAGTTTTTCTATATGTCACCACTAATAAAACATAAAGTGTACCAAGTAGGATGCTTTGTATGCTAAAAAGAATAATGGTGTGTTACTATGGTATTTGGTGTTTTACTGTCAAACATTTGTAAATTATCTGAAACCAAGTTAAGCTAAATTTATCCAGTGAATATATATGAAACATCTCTATACCTATACTAGTTTGGCATTTTCCTAGGCAATGGTGATACAAGATAAATGAAACATATTCCTTTTCCTTAGAGTACTTAAATTTGAGGGAGAATTTGAGAATCTTTTCATTCATAATTTTATTACATTGGCTGAATGAAAATACTGCATCTTAAGATTAAGAAGTATAGAAATGAATTAATGTGATTCTTCACAATTATTACAACTTACTTCTTTCTTCTGTTAAAATGTCTCCAGTTTACTGCACTACTTTGTTAAAATAGACTGTGACTCACCAACTATGTTTTTCCTGAGCATAAACTGCTACAAAAATGTTCTTTAGAATTTTAAACATATCTCTGCCATTTACTGTATGAAAATTGTGTTACTTCTCACAACTTGGAGACTACTTATAATTATAAACTCTAAATAGAAGCTTTCATTTCAAATTAATCACTGGGAAACAGTATACTGAACAATGGTGTGAATCCTGAAAAATATTATGTATAAGGAAAAACTGTAATATCAGTGTGTAACCTCTTAAATATCCTTAGCTGTGAAAATGATAAAAAATAGAAGGGAAAAGGTAAGTGAGTAATAAGGATGTGTTATAGTAACTATGGTAGTGGTATTTTCACAGAGATTGAATAAAATAATTTTAAAACTACAGTAAAAATTCTGTAGTCCATTTTCTCTTAGTGCAGAAATCCCAGTGATTTAGAATTTGGCAAATTGAAAGTTATCCAGAATGTTCCAGTGAACCAGCATTTTAGCTAGCTTTCTCTCATAAGTTGTTTTGATGAGGATACAAAGTGAGTCTCGAGTTGCCTCAGATATAAAAAAGGACATGAAGATGAAAACACTGACTTTAATAAAAAAATTAATATTATGTAACTGTTTTAGGAGGATGGAGAAAGGGGTGTTTTAAGAGAATTCAAATCTCATCTACAGTAGGTAACAATAATAATAGCTATCACTATATGGTCACTCTGTTTTGAGCAAGATATCATACATATGTGGGATTTTGCATCATATAATCCTCACAATAACCTCATGTAGTAGATTCTAGTATTTTGTAGAGAAGGAAACTGAGGCCTCAAAGTTTATTTGTTAAAGGTCACAAAGCTGGTAAATGGTGCTGAGATTCAGAACCAAAAGTTCTGTTTAAAATGGGTGATTCAAGAGCTAAGAGTGTTGCTGATTTTAGAAATATAGAGCTATCTGCCATAAGAACAGCTAAAAGGTTGGGAAAGTCTCACTGCAGTGGGAGACCCGAATGGGGCTAGAGGAGGTCAGGAACAAAGGACTACTGTTTTTTTTGTTTTTTGTTTTTTTGTTTTTGCTTCTTTTAAGTCTATTAACACTTCAAATTTTAAACTCTGGGAAGAAATGACTGATAAAAATAAAACTATGTTGATGCTAGTAAGTTAATTAGTATTCCACATACTATAGTAATTCACACTTAAGCAAATATTTAGAAGAGAGGGACATACTAATTTTTTCCTTTGTTTCCATGATCTCCAAATCTAGTGTATAGTCTATAGTAAACATTTATTCCTACTCTACATTTTCATGTAAAGATTATGTACAGCAAGTTGGACTGCAGTGGTCACAGGATGCCATGTAAGTGTGCAAATGCTGAGGTTATTGTGTTTGTATTTAGCATTATGCAATTAAAATTTATTGCATTAAAGCTCAAGCAAGCGTTTTATTTCATGTTTAGACATCACTGTGTTGCAAAGTGTAATTCATTAAGCTCCACATTTCAATATAAAACGTCATAAAATGTTCAAAAGTTAGCCTGTTGTATGTTTTGCATTTAAATATTTATATGTGGTACTATTCAGCCTGTGCCTTATAAACCACAAAAGGGCTGAGTTATATTTGTTTTCTGTTTATAAGTTGTCTGCTAAAACTTACGATTGTCTTATTACTTATTTTTTTCCTTTGAAATTTTTGGCCCACCTTGTTGTGATTTCTATAAATGTAATGCAGTTACTCTGAAGAAAACTTAAGGTAAATACATCCTGCATGTAATTCTGGTACATTAAAATACTGTAGCATTTTAACTGACTTTGTACATATTTTCTGCTTTCCGGTTACTCCCTCTTGCTTCTTAGTTAAAAAATAAATAAAACCAATATTAAAAGCTCACTTAAATGGATGTTAAAATAGGTTTTTTCATTTCTGGGGCTGGAAAGAAATACTGTAATGGTTGAGAAATGGTTATTGTGTTTAATTAAATGTTTCGAGTAACTTAGTTATTACATTTTTAAAGTGAATCTTTCTCATTAACGATGTTCCTTCTGGGGTCTGCAAGGGACTGCCTCAGGACCATTAGTGCCTCTTCTCTCTGATCACTAGATTTTAATGCCACTCTTTAATTTAAATAACTTGCCTACAGTCACACTGCAAATAAACACAGGACCCCGGATTTTGAGTCTAAACTATCTGGCTCCAGAATTTGTGTTCTTAACCTCTACAAAGTTTCTCAAAAAGGTAAACATTATTTTTAAATGGAATAGAATAATTTGAAATTACTTTCTTAAATAATTAAAGATAAAAAAAGCAGATGCAAATGGCTGAAAAGTAATGCTTTTTGAAGTCCTTTTTTTCCCCCAGTTAGATCAATGTCTCAGCCCTTTTCCTTCCTTTTGTTTAAATGGGTGGCAACAGATGGGGCAGATTCTGAAACATCAGACATGTTCATGTCTTAGAGTTTAATCACACACAGATTATCTCCAGGCATCAGGCTTGGACTACCAGATTTCTCAGTGAGTTTTACCAGTATTTTGAGGTAAATGATAACTAGTGTTGATAGTCTTGAAATGTGGTAAAATGTGGAAACATTTATAATTCAATTTGTGGGTATGCATTTTAAGTTAAATAACCACAAGTAACAACTATAGCTAAAACTATTTTCTTAATTACAAATATTTCATGATTTTGCCTTAGTGTTCTGAATTTTTGCTATTTGACTGGTGAAATAGCATATATTCATAAATGCCAAGGCCTAGAAATCAGTCTCTCTTCCTCTTTTTCTCTTTCTTATTCTCTCTTGGAAATATTTATCAATTCTTCCAAGTATTTAATGAAATATCATGATGTTATAGTAACATATCACTGAAATAGGTTTACATTTCCTCCAGTTAAGTGTAACCGTTAATGTTGGAGTTAAAGCCAATTTCACATTTAAGCTCTATTTTCTTAGGCTCAGTATAGTGTATGTATCAGAATGCACCATCCTAAAGGTCACTGGAAGCTCACACTTCACTCATTTTAGTGATCACTGACTTTTTCCCCAGGGCTTTTTGGGGCAGGTTTATAGATATACCTTGCAAGATACATTATTCTTAACCATGTTGTAGGAGTTTTTTTCTTTGTTTTGTGATACTCTTAAATGTGATACATAAGCTCTTGCCATTTCAGGAAACTTCATTGTCTGTTTGATAGAGGTTTTACTGCATTCTTCAGATGTGGGATTATTAGCGTCTTAAATCCTTTTCACTAATTCAGTGAGTTTAATTTATAGATTCACAAAATATCACTTACTATCCCTTTTTACATTGTAAAACCCCAATACTGTGAATAATTTTATTTCATTTATGCATAGCAGGACAAGATTTTTTAAGAGCAAATTAAAAAATTTCCAAGACCCTATATCAATATAGTATCTCACTAATGTTAAAATTTGTTTCTCTAATTTGAAATACATCTAACACAGGACTGTTTTTTAAATGTTAATGCTTTGTTTGCTGATTAAAAGGATGTATTGGTCTCTGTACAAGCAGTGGCAGCTGAAACAAGAGATGTTGAGTCTGGGAGAATATGAAATGGCTCACAGATTTTGTCTGAAACGATATATCTTAAAAGTTAAGAAATCTCTCAGATTACTGGCTTGGTTTGATGCATGGAACTACAGTGTATCTTGGTCATATTTTTAACCATAGATTCTTTTGGGGCCAGGGTAGGTTGTAGATGCTTTGGTATTAATTTCTTTGACAGTTACTGAAGAATTAAGCCATTCAGAAGTTTCCAGGTGACCTATATGAAAGTACTAACATTCAGCTGCCTTGGGCCTACAAATGGTTGTAGGTTCCAGACAACTGTATGTTGGTGCAACTTGACAATGCCCCGCATCTCTCATTTCCTATTTTAGAGCTTCCTACTTTTTGTCCCTATTCCTCCACCACTACCATTCCAAAACAGACGTAACCCAGCAGGGAAACCATTGACAAGTGGAAGATAAGAGCTAATGAATAAATTCTTCCCTCAATCATGGACAGTCTTGAGACTCACTATATATAGCTTTTGGGATGATTCCTCTGATTCTAACAATTAGTCATACTTAGCTGCAGCCAACTCAATAACACCTCCTCATATTGCTACTCTCCTAACCTGCTTCATTCTCCTTTTCTGTGACTTTACTTCCTAATAAAGTAATGCAGAAATCTCTCTGCCACAGCAGTGCTTTCTGAGTACCAAGGCTATATCCAACAATGTTCTCAAATTTTTATCAGATTTTTCCTAGGATTTTTTTTCTTCATTTTTAAAATAGACTTCAGAGCAACTTTAATTTCACAGCAAAACTGAGCCAAAGATAGAGATTTTCTACATACTACTGCCCCACATAATTCATAGCCTACCCTACTATCCACATCCTGATGCCCTAGGATTTTTAAGTACATAAAAGTCACCCTCAAGTGAGCATATGATAGTTGACCAAAAGCTAGCTTGGAAGTTCTGGCTCTGAATAAGTTGGGATAAGCACACTCTGCCCTACCTCCCCCACTGAATGCAACCACAATACCTGCACAGACTGGCCATTTAAATGCATGGACCAAGGGAAGGGTATATAGCTCAGTGGTAGAGTGCATGCTTAGTATACACAAGGTCCTGGGTTCAATCCCCAGTACCTCCATTTAAAAAAAAAACAAAAACTTAAATGCATGGACCAGCTACTTGAGGACTCTGAGAAGTAAATAACAGATTAAAGAAGACCAGAATTTAACATGCCACAAGACCAGCAGTGAGTTTGCCCATTTTTCTCCTTTGGTAGCCTCTCTACTTGGCTTAAGGCTGCTTAAAACCCAGAATTGGGAATCTGTGCAGACAGAGCTCCAGAGAAATTCTCTAATTTTGGCTCAAAGAATAGGAAGAAAATCTAATGATCAGCAAAAATTAAGGAAATACTCCATTTTCTTTCTCTGTTTTCTTGTGCACCAGCTCCCCAGCAATCTGAGGGTGTCAGCAGCAGCACCAATAGCAGCAGCAGCAGTGGAGAACCCACAGACCCTAAAATTCTGAGGAATAGGAACCTCATTCTGCAATCAGAGGAGCTTTGGTCCCAAGAGGATGTGGTAAATCCCATTGCTTTTGTTCTCTCTCTCTTCCCATTGCTTGGCCCCAGACAGGGACATTTTCATAGGAAGTGGATTACAGAGCAGGGTACATAAAGCCCCAGCTTTCTAGCTGGAAGATCAAAAAAGGGAGCCCCAGGAACTAGAAAGTATGGAGGAGGTTGGGAGAGGGAGGAGATTGGCAAAGCAACCCCATAAAGTTGTTTATGAACTCTTAGTCTTGCCCTCAGTGTCAATCTGAGCCTAAAAAGCGTACAAATTTAACAACTCACCTATGACCCAAATCCAAGATTGGCTGCTGGGTGGCTCACACATGGCCTAGAATAAAACTATAAAGGTTTTTGAAAACAGAAATAACATTGAAATTACAACTCCCTCATGGCTGGTTGGAACTTTTAGCCTGAATTCAACCAAGATGAAGGCCTGCTAAAGCAAAATTATCAACAATCTCCACAGAATTAAAAAAAAGAATCAGACTCTCGTAGCATTCAGAATACCCAGGATACAATCCCAAATTACTGAGTATACAAAGCCCATGGAAAACTCACATGGCAGAGAAAAGATGGATGTCAATACCAACGTGACACAGATATTGGAGCTATCTAACAAAGACCTTAAAACAGTTGTTATAAAAATGCTCAAAGTAAGGGTGAATACTCTTGAAGCAAATGGGGAGATAGAAAGTCTTAGAAGATATGACAAATTAATGAAAATTTTAAAACTGAAAGGTAACAATAACTTGAATGAAAACTAACTAGATGAGTTCAATTAAAGAATGAAAATGACAGAGGGAAGACTCCATGAACTTGAAGCAGATTAATGGAAATTACTCAATCTGAATAATAGAAAAAATACTGAATAACAAAAATAAACAGAGCCTTCATGACCTGTGGGTCAATGTCAAAAAGTCTATATCATGTAATCAGTATCCCAGAAGGAGAGGAGAGAGTAAGGAGCATAAAAGTTATTTTAAGTAATAATAGCGGGAAACCTCCCAAATTTGGTGACGGGCATGGTGTACAGATTTCAGAAGCTCAGCTTGAAAGCAGCTGGGGAAGATGACACATTACTTACAGGGAAACAGCCATTCAAATAACCACTGATAGCTCATCAGAGATCATTGAGGTCATAAAGAAGTGGCACACCATTTTCAAAGTGCTTTTTAAAAAAGAACTCAATCCAGAATAATATATCCAGCAAAAAATATCCTTTAAGAATGAAGGTGAAATAAAGACACTGTCAGGATAAGAAAAACAAGAGCATTTATTGCCATCAAGTCTGCTCTAAAAGAATTACTAAAGAAAGTTCTTCAAACAGGAGGGAAAACATAGCAGAAGGAAACTTAAAGAACATTTTGTGTTCTTTAAAACGTATTTGACAGTTGAAAACATTGTGTTATGTCTCCGTGTGTGTAGATGTAATATATAATACAACTACAAAATAAAGGGGGAGAATAAAGGTTAAGTATGGTGTTTTTCTACTCTTGAAGTAGAAAAACATTTTTCTAATTAGACTGTGAAAAGTGTGTTTATTGTAATATCCAAAGAAGCCACTAAAAGACTATACAAAGAAACAGTCAAAAACATAAGTGAGTTTAAATGAAATACTGAAATATGTTCAGATGATGCAAAAGAAGGCACAAAAGGGGACAAAGAGCAACTAAGTGTGGAGGGAACAAACAAAACATGTAATTGTAGACCTAAATCTAAACATACCAATGTTACTAAGTGTAAAGATACACATACCAATTAAAAGAAAGAAACTGAATGGATAAAAGCATTACCAAACTATATTTGCTCA